TGTTCGGCATCTTGTGCTTACTTCCTTGCGTACGGATGACAGCTGCGTATGGCTTATTCATTTTCTGGTGCTCTCACTTGCAGAGACAGTTATAAGCACTGTGTAACTGCCTCGAAGGTGCTTGACCACATTAACACAACGTGGTGCGATCATCCCCCTCGCGCGGAGTGAGGGTGCTCCACCCCGCACAAAATGATCTACTCGACCACCATTATGGTTACCGCCAAAAAAAAAGAGGTAAATAAAAAAAAACGGTAACCTGGTTGCCGAGTTCACGAAGTNGGGGGGGGGGGGGGGAGGACGTTATTAAAAGAATGGCTCATGGTTACCATAACAAAAATAAGACGAGCAAGTGGAGACGGGGGTTCATCAATAGAACGGCCTCCCATCACGGTGCCATTTTCCGTGCCGCTGCTTGTCAGTCAACAAGGTCAACAACGTCAATCCCACAAACAACCAAACGAGACACGAACATGCACATTTCTTCACATCTACGCGTGATTTTCATTCAGTGCGTGTCTCCATTCGGAGGAACGGGCAGATCGCGCCGGTATCAAAATAAACTACACCGCATATCGCCGATGGGCTTTTCTCTTTCCTCAAGGCGGCGAGAGGCAATTGAGTAACAGCAGTCGGTGCTTGCGCGGAGCAAACCAACAAAACACCATGTTGACGGACGGAAAGAAGTATACCCTGTAGGCCGGGGACACAAAAAGACTACCAAAGACTTGGGTGTTTTCCTTTTATNGGGGGGGGGGGGGGGGGGGGGGGGGGGGGGGGGGGGGGGGGGGGGGGGGGGGGGGGTTCGGGAGGACAGATCGAGCTGTAATACACACATGTGGTTATCTAGTATAGTAGTCTTACATCGTGGACACGCCGTTGACAGACTCCGTGAAATGCGCATAGATGGGTGACTTGGACACGCTGTCCAGCCGCTTGAGCTCCCGACTGGCGTTCAGGTAGCGGTGGCCTAGCACAATCGCCAAGCAGGATATCGGCACGAGCGCCAGTATCAAGAAGGGCACCTGAAGATACGGAGAGGGGGAGTAAATACGTGTGACAGCAGCATGTAAGGCATGGGAAGCCTTCGGGCTGACCAATGTCGGGGGATGAGAGCAGGTGTTCGCGAATACACAAAATGATACTTTTCGATGAAAAACGCAGCACGAAAGGGTGTGTCGAGAATGTGCGCATGAATATATACATAAACGTTCGCGCAGAATCTCACAGAACTTGCAAAACAAACGAAATCCCCAAAACAAGCCGGGTTTCCGCAGCAGTTATTTTTCTGCAGAGATGCTGTTCGTGAGCAAGCATGCGGCGCAAGGAGAAGAGGGCATATATTAAAAAAAAAAAAATGCCCCAGTCGTGGTCGGCGGAACGTTGGGCAAAGTCCAAGCTCAACAAACCAAGTACAACAAAAGACTCTACCGTCTCCCCCCGGCGAAGCCAAAAAAAATATTCGAGAGAAAAACGGGGGCTCTCACCGTGTATACGATGACGGTCACGATGGACAGGGCCGAGAACAGGCAGACCAGCGTGGATCCGATGGCGTCCATTACCTCCTTGTCTACCTCCTGGACGTCGGAGCTGAACCGGTTGAGGATGCGCCCAAGGGGGGTGCGCTCGAACCACCCGACCGGCGCATGCATGACGTTCTTCGTCAGGGCGTCGTGCATGGCGGTGGACGCCCTCAACGACGCCAGGCTCTGGACCAGCGACCTGGTGTCATAACAGAATTAACGCAAGGTTGCGCGGGGGGTCGGTGGGTGCTTCTGCTGATGTCGGCGTGGGGCAAGCATGTCGAAAGACAAGTCACCAGCGAGGATATGCCAAACCACGCGTTGACAACCGCCAGCCAAATGACCGACTATCCGAAGAAAAACAGACACCGCGAGGCCGGAAATTTTGAAATTTTCTTCCCGAGAAAAAAAATACCGCTTAAACATGCTGGTGAAGGAAAAGGCGGATCTCAAGGGAGCGACGGGGGTGCGCCTACAAATATAACACCTAACGATACCTACGAAAAACAAGGTCGTCGGTTGCGATGCTCCTCGCCGTAACTAGAGAAGTAGGAGCCGAACGAACTATACAAGGGTATCTATCCACCGATCAGGTTGCGAACACGGCGCATCGCTGAAGACCCATCCCCTCACCTGCAGAACACCGCCGCGATCACGGCGAAGCTGATGCCGATGTATTGCCACATTGCCTGCGAGCGGGGTGGGGTGCGATAGGGCTGGGGGGCGTTAACGCAGTCTCCGCAGCAGGGTGTGTGTGTGTGTGCTCAAAGTCGTGCATGCCGTAGTCGTTAGACCATTGACCTCGCGTCCCTACAAAGCCGGGACGGAGCACGCCGGGTTCTCACCGGACCAGGCTCTCACATCACCAAGCCCGAAGCACCGTGAGACATTCGGCGAGTCGCATGAAGGGTGCGCTGCATCCTGCTGACGCTCTTCGGCATCTTGTGCTTACTTCCTTGCGTACAGATGACAGCTGCGTATGACTTAATTTATTTTCTGGTGCATTCACTTGCAGAGACGGTTACAAGCACTGTGTAACTGCCTCGAGGGTGCTTGGCCAATTGGACACAACGTGGTACGATCATCCCCCTTGCGCGGAGTGAGGGCTCTTGACCCCGCACAATGTTATCTACTCAACCACCAACATGTTTGCGGCAAAAAAAAGAAGCTTGAAAAAAAAAAAAAAACGGTCATCTGGTTGCCGAGCTCGCGAAGTGATCGGCTTTTTTTACAATGTCGTTGCCAAGCGACGAAAACCCAACCCCAATGGCAAACACTGAGGGATGGAGAGGGGGTTCAATGTACTACCTTGTGCTCAGAGCGCAAAACACGACACTCTGTCGCTGAGTAAAAAAGGGCAAAGAAGTACTTGATGACAACCCGACACTCACGGGGGTATCGTTGGAGTTAGCCTCCAGCTTGTCCACCCAGCGAGACAAGAGCAGGTTCTGCCCAAACTGCAACATGTTGTACGAGGCATGGAAGCACAGGTACGGGATCTGCTCTCGCGGGATTCGCACCCGACAAAAAAGGGGAAAAGCGAGGGGAAAAGCGAGCACACACCGAGAGGCGTCACGGACAAGCAAGGACGGGCGTTGGTTGAGTGAGGGCCTCTACGGTGTGCATGTATGCATACAGGGGAATAGCGCAAGCTTCTCGAGAATCAACTCTGCTGCGAGAAACTATTGCAACATCCGGTATATCCATCCATGGTGAGACAAAACAGGATGCCGTGCGACCGCGGTGGGCCATCTAGCCGACTGGATGCAACGAACTTTTTGCTCTTACGCTCACCGTTCGATTCCACCAAGAGCAGGAGACGGACACGCCATGTACCATGAAAAACCCGATGAGGTAGAACACAGCAGTCAGTGCCGAATTAACGGGACCCTACGCTCCCCGTCTAAGCTATACATTGATCAGGAGGTCGCCCCAAGGGCGTCCTACCACCCACACACGTTTCGCGTAAGCATATCTTGGCACACGTCGACAAGCCGCCGAGTGTCGCCTTTCACCCTCCGGCATGAACCGCCCAACGCACTATCGCCCTCAAATTTCGCCCGTTCCCGCATTCGAGATACTTATGAACAGTGCCCTTGGGAGTTTATCGCAGAGAGGTGTTTTCTCTCTGGTTAAGAGTTGCTATAGAAAACCCCGCGTCACACGCCGCGAAACGGTCAAGTTAGCCAACCAAGTAATGTAACGAATTCAATCTAAAACCAGCATCTGGAAGTAAAAGGAGCGCAACTCGTCACGTTAAACTAGCTGCTGTTTTGTGCCAGGACAGACACACAGAAAAATAGTCTCCCATTCGCGTGCTTGCTTCGGTTGTTCACGGCGCTTGCAACCTTTGTCAGCACGAAGTGAGTGCAGCTCTCACCGCGAAGAGGAAGATCCCCCCTGCGGCCTTGCAGTAGGCCACGTAGATGCCGAATTCGGGAGAGCCCCTTTGTCTGAAGCAAGGCGACGCGTGACGTAACGCCAAAGAGATGGCGATGGCGATGACAACGTCAGCAACGGCACCGGAACCGGCAAAGACATGTATGACCGTGCAAACAACCAGAGACGACGACAGCGAGGGAGAGAGAGAAAGAGACAGAGACAGATAATCATGATCAGCTCTCGACTCAATGGAGCACCTGGCACGCCAGCACGCGCACAGCAACACTATCAACAGCTGCTAGAAGACCGTAGTGCATTTTCGGGCGCAAGACCATCAGGTTCAGCGAGACATGAGACATGGGCACAGACCACAAACAACACCGCACTCGAGCTTCACCAAGCATAGACGCTCCGTCAGCGGCGACACACAACAGAAAGCAGAAAAGACAAGGACTACGTGCACCTTGACTCCTCCTTGACGAGCTGGTTCTTCTCGCGTTCCTTCTCAGCCTTCTCCTTGGAGTTGACCCCCGCCTCGACCTTGGCACTGCTAGTCTCCATTTCCACGCTGGGCTGCCGCATTAGCCTCCCACCACCACCAACCTGCACGTTAACCGTGAGGATCGAATCAGCCGCGTGTACATGCCTGCAACCCCGCGACGTCAGGGCCAAACTGGGGTTCCAGAACAAGGCTCGATGGGTCCCTCGCAAACACGTAACACGTCCTGACCTGCTGCTGTACGAAAAAGCCTCCACGAACAAAAAACACACATGAATACATAACGCGTATGCGCGTACTGCAAGCACAACCTTCATGCATCACTTCGATCATGCTTTGTACACACGGACACGAAACAATCTGCTGAACGTTGCGGTTATGCAAACTACCGGTCGAAAAGCGGCGTGTCGGCCAAGCGGAACACGACACATACGTACGCACACCCAACGGCAAAACCTAAACGAGCCGTCCACCTTGTTGATGAGGGCAGAGAGGCGCGAGCTCTCGTCTTCCATGAGCTCCCGGGGATTGCCCACTTCCACCATTCGCCCGTCCACGCTCATCAGCGCCACCCGGTTCGCGTACCGCGCCGTCATGGGAACCTAACCACGAGCCAGCCAAGCATTTCCGGACCAAATACGGAACAAACGATAAGCGATAGGCAAGTGGAGTAGACGCCCCCACTTAGGAAGCTTTAGGCTTGGCCCGAGCCTGGGTTTCTTTTTGTGTTAAACTGCAAATCTTCATGATAAAGATTGTTAAGTGTAGTGACTCTTCACCGGGCTCACAGATGGCGCTCAAGTTCTTCTGTCTTGAGATAATGTTGAGCATGATAATCTCATCTGCTGCCAACTTCTTGAGTGCGTAAATCCCTGGTGAGTGACCAGATGGTGTCGAACGGCCAATACAGAGGGGCCCCGGGTTTCAGTTTTTGAGGGGGCTGCCGTCGTTCAAACGCCCAAACCTCGTTCAGAGAGGAGTCCAACACAGACGAGACATGAACCCAAAAGAGCACGCGGGGTATCGTGCCAAAATAACCAACCATAGTGAACGCTGTGTTTTGGGCAGGCGAGACTAATTTCGATCCTTTCACACCGAGAGAAAAATACTACTGTACACAATAAACACAAAATGTCAACCCCCATCGTGAGAAAGCTATGGCTCACCTGGTGAGTCACCAGAACCACCGCCTTGTCGCGAAGCATCCCGCGGACGCAGTGCTTGAAGATGTGCTCCCCGACGTGGGCGTCCACCGCCGAGAGCACGTCGTCGAGCAGGTACACGTCCGCCTGGGCGTACACCGCGCGGGCCAGAGACACCCGCTGCTGCTGCCCGCCGGAGAGGTTGATGCTGTCGCCCGTCGTTGGTTTGTTTGACGGCGACGGAGGCGACGGTGTCACAGCGGGGG